ATTTTCATAAGCATTTGTTTACGTGCAATACGCACATTAGTTAATCGAAGATAACCATTATCACCAGCAGCATGTGCATATCGACTACTAATCTCACCTAATTCAACTCCTAAACATATTATGTGATATATATAGAAGATTATAATATTATAATCAATTCACCTGGTAATGGTTCATGTGTATTAAAATCTCTAATTTGTACTAAAAACATTTGTATACCACATGAATGATTTCGATCAGGTGTATATAATTGTGCCATAAGAAGAGCATGATTAGCTGTTCTAGCTAATGCACCTGGCCAAAATTTCGTTGCCGTTAATGTTGGTGTATTAAGTATAAATGAATCAGTTGTACGATCAAAAACAGCTTCAGTTTCTAATCGTTGTAAATTTGTTCCATGACCTAATTCTGTTTGAGTATAAGCAGTAGTAATATAACAAGATCGTGCTAATGGTACAAATTCTCGTTTTTGTTCTTCGTTTGCCATTGTTTCAAGTGCATATAAACACATTGATGTATGAATATACAATGCAAAATGATTATTAGCAAATATAGAATAAAACCATTGACGATGTTTATCATTGGTTATATTTAAACGATTTGCTTCTTCAATAGCCAAAAGACTTTTACGTGTAGTCACGGAATAATGTTCATCAGCATCGAGATATTCTATTGGTAAATGTGTTTGATGAATTGGATGTGCAAGAGCCAAACGAACTAAATAGATTAAAAAAGACGAAATTAATAATATAAAATTATATATTGTTTTTTTATTCAACTAAGTTTGCGTCGTGTATTAAGTTCATAATAATTATCAGGTCCTCCGAACATAAATTGTGTCAATTCTTCAACATTAAATGTTGCTGATTCACGTTCACTTAGTAAATTAACATTTTTTGTATCACTAATTTCATAATGAGGTTTCGTAGACTTTGAGTCGACCATTGTCTCTTCTTCTAGATGAAATATTTAAAAAAATGATACCACTATTGTTATATATCACAAGTGAAGAAAAGATAAGGAACAGAAGAAAAAAATGTGAATAGAATCAACAGAGTAATGGCGACAGTTACAGGTCAAAGTAAAACATGTGCGTATGATAAAAACAACAATATTACATTGTGTGATGTATAGACATAGATTATTATCGTTCGTTTTATTTTAGTTCTTTCTGTCGAGGGTGTTAGTATATATATTTCTTTCGTTTTCTTGTATTCACTAGGATTATTCTATCATATATATAGACATGTGTGAAGTAGTTTATTCGACAATGAAGTATCATTCAACACTCGACTTCAGGACGTGACATATTGAACTACTTAAAAAAGATTTTAAAACTCATAGATGTCAAGCACAACTGAATAGAATTTAGAACATTGAATCTGTAGTTGTTTTTTTTGACATCAAACGCTAATAAAAAAAGTATTTTTTTTCGTTCCTAAGCATATAGACCAAATTTTTATTTAAAAGATTTTATAAAAGCTAAAAAAATTTTTTCAATCTATATTTATTCGCATATATGATTTATTTAAAACAGACTCGGTTAAATTTTTTTATATGTAAATGCATGTATAATAATAATTAGTTTGATATATTTAGTGTTAGTTTAGAAAAAAAAAAGAATAGTTTTATCGAATTTAGTATTCGTAACTATAAGAATTATAATTTCAAGGTTAATCACCAATATGTCCATCACGATTAAAGTCAATATGTGTAACTTTTTCCAGTTTATTCATGAGACCTCCACTACCGTGGTGATGAGGATGATTAAAAGCATTATTTGGAAGGGGTACAGGTGGTCTCATAATATTTCTATCAACATTGAAATTCATATTGGGAGGATATTGTGGTTGATTGATTTGACCTCCACTAGCTGAATGATAAAAATGTGGAGACTGACTGCGTTGTCCACCAATAAGTCCATCACCATCTATATCTGTATTTGTAGATCTTTCCAGATCATTTATCAGATCATTAGAACCACGTCGAGAAAAATTCGGAGGATGCTTAGGTGCGAGATAAACATTGAATTCTGAACGAAAAGGAGGACCATTATTTGGTTGATATTGAGGAGGTTGACTACGTTGTCCACCGATAAGTCCATCACCATTTATATCCATATTTGTAGATCTTTCCAAATCATTGATTAGATCATTAGAACCAAGTTGAGGAAAATTTGAAGGAGGCATAAGAGCACTAGATCCATTGAAACCTGCTGGAAAAGAAGGACCGTTATGTGGTAGATATTGAGGAGGATGATTGAATTGACCATTTATAAATCGATTATTATTGGAATTTGTATGTGCACCGTTTCCGACTCTATTAAATGTGGTGACCTGTTGATAGGATGATGTTTGGTATTCATAACCATATGTTGATCCATTATTATAATCTTTTACAAATAAAAAAACGATTATAATATAGAAAAATTTCAAACTTCAAAGCTGAATCTATCATTTTATCATTTTTTTGTGTAAGAATAAAAACATTTTTTAATACAACTGTTTCGTATTAGGTCTTTCTCTCTTTACTTGATGTATCTAATTCTAAGTATTAGTAAAAACATACTCATCTTAATTAATCTTGAGCTTGGTTGATAGAAAAAACTAAAAACAAAATAAATGTTAAAATGATGATATAAGAATATATATTTGATTATTCATAATTATAAATATAAGTATTAATGTGACGATCAAGTAAATATTACCTATATTGACGTCCGTCTCTACGTAATGGATATATTCGTTCTTTATTTTCTTTTTTTTCTTCATTTCAAGTAAAAAGATCGGACGAGATAAACACACATATCAAATACTTGTTCTATGTATTTAAATATTACCTTTTTTTCTCGCAACATCGTAATATGTCTAATAATAATGAATAACGTCAAATATAATTAAAAATATTAGGTATAGAGATAGAAGTATATGATGTGAAGCAATATTTTCTTATATTTATTTATATTTCAAATAATCAAGTAAACTTTGTTAAAATTAGAATTTTTTATTTACGAAAATATTTATCATCCTTACAATCTTCACATAGAAATATAAATAGATGAATTGAGAGTTACTTTGATTCGTTATATAGGAAAAGTGATGGTAAAAGTCTTGTTAATACTTCAATTAATACAATGATGACTGATCGATAATATTGAAATGAATATAAATATTATTTTTGTTATCATTATGAATATAATTAATTGCATGATTCCATAAATAAATATTTTATTTATTAAAAATAAAAAATTAATTATTATAATGAAAATTTTAGGAATATAGATAATTAAAATAATAATTGATTTTATTCAAAGATTGAGAAACATAAATTTTTATAAAAAGAATAAAATTTAATCAAGTAGAATTCAAATATAGAGATTAATATAAATTATATTTAACATATGAAATTGATTTTGATTATAAATGATCGGTGTGGGTGTATATTTTCTCTAAACTTTCACATCCATCCGAGAGACATGTGATACTTCGACGTAGGATAATCATTTTGATGGACTCATAAGACACAAAATACCGATAAATTGGATTATTAATCATGAAATAATTGATTATAGTTTGACTTTTTTTTTACATACGCAATGAGTGCGTGTGCAAATTCAAGGTATTTTGCGTCGATCTAATTAATGAAAAACATCCGGACTTTTCAGTTCTCGTGTCCAAAGATTAAAAGATATTCTAAAAGGACACGCTATTTATAAATCTTTATTCTTCTCATTTCCTCGATGTCGCACTGAGTTTTACTCATTATCCTATTCTTCGTTGTCACTAATTATATCGAACTATCTTTTATTGTCGATTGTAGGTGTGTTGCCTGATGGTTGTTCATGCAAAAGAAATATTAATGGAATATTTTCTATGAAAAAAATACTTCTTCATACGGAATATATGTCTTTTTCCAACATACTTTCTGCTGATTTATAAATGAACTCATTAATTAGTTAAAGATTATGCGGAATAAAACTATATAAAATATCTTTCTCATTTTCGTATCTTATCAACCTTTTCTTGTTTGCATTTGCTCCTCATATGTCTAATACTACTAGCAATAACGATATGATTTTACAAATACAATTAATAACACGTATTATCTCTACTTATATGAGTCTTACGATGTTTATTATTGGAACGATTGGTAACATTTCCAATATTTTTGTATTTACACATCTTCCTTTATTATCTAAGTTAGCAAGCAGTTGGTTCTTAGGAGCATCATTCATTGCTAGTCAACTCGTGTTAAATACAGGTGTCATTTCTCGTGTTATACTTGGTTTTTCTGGAATTGATCCATTGGTTTCATCGATGATCTGGTGCAAAATACGTTGGATATTAGGACCTCTTGGAGGTAGTACATCACTTACTTGTATAAGTTTAGCATCCATCGATCGATATTTCATTACAAGTGATCAGGTCGATCGACATCGATGGATTTCTGTACGACGTGCTCAATATATGATTCTCATTGTTGTTTTTATCTGGTTTATTCTTTTAATTCCAAATGGAATCTATTACACATTACCATCGTGCACAATTATCAACACGATCTATGCTCAATTCTCACCTATCTTCAGTTTAGTTACGTACAGTATATTTCCATTATTAGTTTTAGCTATATTTTGTGTCTTAACTTGGTTCAATTTACATAGTAATCGTATGAAATTAATTCGTAGGAATAATATGGAATCTCAAGTGAATAAAATGATGATTGCACAACTCTCTGTTGTTCTACTGACTAGCGTACCCAATGTTATACTACAAATATATACCCTATCATCTCGTACTATATTCAAAAGTACCTTACGCCAAGCACAGGAAGGACTTTTATCAGCTGTACTTTCGGAACTCGGATTTGTTACTCATGCCGGAACATTCTATGTTTATTTGATCGCTTCTCGCAGCTATAGGAATAATGTGAAAAATATCATTTTAAGTTATAAAAACGGCTTGAATCGCGTGTTACCACAAGTGATCTAATGTTGTATTGAAATATTCTCATTTTTCTGACATTTTCCCATCTGTCTCGTTTAAACCAGTAGTGTCAAACACTGAAAGTTAAATTCAACTATTTAATAAAAAAATGAACTTTATAATTTAGTAATAAAATAGCAAAAAATGAAATAGAAACATCACAAATAACATTAAACGTGAAATAGATGTTATTCCAGCTTGATTTATAACAATTGTTGTTGTAATCGATGTCGAAGTCTCACCAGTAGTGGCTGGTGTGGTGTAGCTATCGTTTTGCATAACACCACAGATCATATCAGGATCAGTAGTTGAGAATGCATCGTCTTTTTCAACAATTCCTTTTTTCATCCAACAAGTTCCACTATTCCAATTAGTCCACGTAAAATGGGTGCATCCTTCAGTTGTGTTACATTTCGATTGACAATCATCCTTTGAAGTTCGAGCATTGAAAAAATCATTATTAACAAAATCACAAGACGTGCCTAAATTTGCGGTCCAAAAGATAGCACAATTTGCAAAGCCGAATAACACAGTACTGATGATCAACAAAACAGTCAAAGTCGAAGAAGAGGAAAGATTGATCATTTAGTATTTTTGATCGTTAGTTATATAATATTTCTGAAAATAGATTATTAAACTATGAATTATACATTATTTATCGAAGAAATTTAATTATGATAGAAAGTGCACCGTATGACTACTATCACTAAATATTGCGTGCATCATCATATTTACCTTTAATATGATATCGAATGACGTTTGAATTCGAAAGAGAACGATTAAATAAAAGCAACAGTATCAATTTAATATGCGAGTACGTTTATTTATATATACATATATATTACTCATTTAGTAAAATAATCACTAAAGCATAATATCGTTTTACTTAGTTAGATGCACGTGTTTCTCGCTTTTTCGTTTCTGCTTATATGCGCAGTGAACATATCATCATTAATCTATTGAAAAAAGAAAAAAAAAGATACATGAGTCAGTTCTCTCACACTGACGAAATGCATGCAGGTAATTAGATTGGATAATCTTATTAACATCAATAGATGGCATAGTGTGATGTCGACACTTGAGATGTACGGAGCATCAATTTTGGCTCCCCCGTGTATCTAAAAACGTTTTATTGAATAATTTAGTTTAATCTACATTCATTATTAGTAATGAAATTGCCCCACGTAGAATAATTCTCGCCTTAATTTTTCCTCAATGACTGTTTTCTTTAATTTTCTCTCCAGTTTACCATGTATGTCAGTATCATATACAAAAGTTATCTTATCCACTATATCATCGATTCCAAATCGAGACAATGTTTTTTATAATAATACTGCAAGAGCAAACCTAAGGGTGTGGGTATCTGTATGGAGAGAGTCTGGGTATTTGCCAAAGGAAGAAATCCCGACACCCACACCCACACCGTCAAGATGATCCGTACAGTCGGTGCGATTAAACTTGACAGCGATAGGCAATAGTAACTGCAATAATAAAATAACGAACAGTATACACATCTTTTTACAATCATTTTTTTATTTTTTCTATATTTTCCTTTTACTCCTTCTATACTTAGGTTCGTTTTTATGTTTTCCACTTTTCTATATTTACCTTTTGATATTTTCATATTATTTTTTCGACGTTTTCCGTTAATCCCGTTTTTATAACATTATAATATATCGTGTCAAGAAAAATTCGATTCCATCTCCAACACAGAAAACATTTTTTGTTTTTGTAACACAAACATTATGAAACATTGTTCTTTTATCGTCTGTGGATGCTGGTATGCTAATATCGTAAAAATAAATATTTGACAAATGAGATTTCAATATTTAAAACTGAATTGTTGTTTATTTTCTTTTCAAAGTTCTTGTTTTCTTAAAACATAAATAAAATATCCGATATGATACGTTCCAATTTCAGTCGCTAATGAATATTCCTGATAGAATGATATAGAAATTTATGAACTTCTCAATTAAGTCCTTTTCTCTATTTATGTTTCTTTATAGTTAGAAATCGTAGAGAAAAAAAACATATTTATATAATTTTAACAGTATTGCAAAAGAAAATCATTAGTGAAGCATTTTATTCGCAAACGGTTGAATCAACGTCTCTTTTTGTAACTGTACCGTTTGCCTCCTAAGTAACTTGTCGACGACGTCTGATCTTCCTTTCTTTCAAACAGAACAGAACAAGTAAAAAAAACTCGATATTACAAAGACATTTCGAACACGCATGTATAGACGCAACATGTGGATATTTGATAGTCGCTGCATTATTTTTTTCATTCTCTAATGGTTACATACACAACTCTATTCGATAGTTTTTTTATCTACTTTAATCATATGTATATATACATAAGGTTGCTTTTTCTTTTCTAACGTATTAGTCATGGGTAACCGAATAGTCACTAAATTTGGCAAGTCTAAATCGCTGACTGATGAAGGTTTGTCTATCTATTGAGTTCTTTTATTGCGTGATTGATTATATTTTTAGAAATCGTTGAAATACAAAAGATTTCGAGACTTAGTGCAGATGGTAAGTAGAAGAAAAAAATTCATTTTATATTTATATAGAATTGTTTGTTCTAATATAGAAATCAGAGAAGAACACAAAGTAAAGAGAAATTTTATTTGTGATAAATTACGATCATCTATTCTTGTTTGAATTTACATTAGGGATTTATGAAATTACAACCAACAGGTAAAATGACGAAGAGACAATTCATCAATATGTATAATTTGCTTGATTTCGATTGCGATATGACTGATAAAGTGGCTTGCAAGTATGTTCATATATCCATTGAAATGATTTGATATTTTCTCTCAACTTATACAGTAAAGCATTCGCTACATTTGATAAAAATAAAAATGGAACAATTGAATTCGATGAATTTCTTTTTGCAATGCACTTCTTACGAACGAATACCATCGAATCAAACGTTGATATTCTTTTTCGAGGGTTACTTCGATTGAATATTATAATTAACTGATGACCAACTACTTCTTTTTTTATTGATTAGATTTGATATTTCTGGCGATGGATATTTAGATCATGATGAAGTAACTGGAATCTTCGATGGTGCCGTAAGTTAATCCTAATATCTTCTTATAGTAGAGTATAATTGGTTATTTTAGATAGCCTTGAATCTTGTACAAGATGCTGATCCAGATTATGCAAGAAAAACTGCCTCCGAAGTATTTACAATTTTGGGTCTCAGTGATGACTCAAAAATTAATAAAGAACAACTTATCAAAGGGTACATAGAAGCATTTTTTTCTTTCTCTATTTGATTTTATTTGTTTCAGATGTAAAGAACATCCTAATTTGCTCAAAAAGCTCTACTTAGAAAAATGAACAATATTGTCAAACGAATACTTATTTTCACAAAGTACTTCTCTTGTTTTTTCTTCATGTGAGCTTGTACATTTAAATTATAGGCACAATAAATAAAATTTTCAGTATTTTTTAAGATGATCGATGATTTCTCGTGTATTATAGAAGAACTAGTCGACAGATACGATAGAGAAACATTCATATTTATCGAAAATGAACATTTTTACACTCAATGTGACACATTAATTGTCTCATCTACTTGATCATAGCTACTTCGTCTGTATCCAAGCAGATAAGAATCTACAAAATGCGTCTAAACTTTATAATCAGGAACCGAAATTGTATGATTCAAAGGCGTTTTTTTTAAATTCTTGTCTACTCTGGTATCTACATTCATATAAATACTACACGAAAGGCTAACACGCTCAGAGACAAGTAAACGTATAATTGGGACTGCACACATGAGCTTATCTTTTCTCCAGTCACACCTACGTCTATGTACACAGAATACATTTTCGATTATTTTAAGTCAAACAACCCTTTTGTAGCTTTAGTTTATTAACAGGAAAAGAAGAAAGAACTAAACATTTTTAATCGATTATTGCTTTCATTAACCATTGAAAATTAGGAATAGTCAGAGGAATGAATATGTTATAAAACCAATTTATATCTTTATCAAATTATGATAATGTTTAATATCTTTGAAGATATTAATATTCACAGATGGTAACGCTCATTTCAAGCTATGAATACTCAACATATGCTAACAGATCTGTATCTAATCAGCAATAATTTGATATTTCGTCAGAAAAAAAAATTTTATAGAAGAAATTTTATCTGATGAAATCAAATAATGCTAAATACATATAGACACGATAGTTCTACAATTTTCATTGTAATACAGCGCTTTAATACTATTTCTGTAAATATAATTAATTTAGACTCACAAAAAAAGCTGTCTTATTTTTTTTCTAAATAACAATGATCAATATAATGGTTCACTATCAACCTTCTTTTAAAAATTACGTGATGTTCGTTCAATTTTTCTTAAACACTTCTCAATCACATTCTTCTCTAATAAATTTTTTTCTTCAGATATATTCGTCTATTCAATATAAAATATCTGTTCAACAACGTAAACAAGAATCAAATTTATTTCAAGAACAATCAGAACATCATGCAGATAATTTACAAAAAGAAACAATACTTGTTACATATCCAAATGATATATCAAATTTATTAATGTTAGAATATCAATCAAAAATTTCTTGCACAAATTCATGTAAAAAAATTAACTACGGTTCGAACGAAAAAAATATATAATTTTATTTTTTTGTGAAAGTGAATTAATATGTCAAAATTAAATGATGCTGATTTTAATGGCATTCGATTAAATTTATATGATGTTTATTTATCAAATTCCTCATTTATTGATTGTTCAAACTTTTCACATACAACAATATGATTATAAAATCATCTTAAAATTAAGTTTAACCGGTTTGATGTTTTGTTTTTCTGTTGGCTGTCTTTTATTAAATTGAAACTTTCTTTTTTTTTTATAGTTTTTATTGACAAAATTGTTTTAGTTATTCTATTAATATAATTCTAACCCATTGTAGTTGTATTTCACGTCTTTGAAATGTTTTCCATAAGGTTTTGACGCTATACCAAGCGTAATAGTGCACACTGATTCAAATAATCAGATATAATTTGTAAGAATATTTATCTCTCGAAAGTTTATCATACTGTCTATGAATTTAATACAAAAAACATACCTATTCAATTATTTTCATGTCAATTTCGTGGTATAACTTAACTGCAAAACTACTTGTTTACAACTTTGAAGAAGAATACACATATGGACTATAGCACGTGGAGAAACCGAAATAATAAATCAGATTGTCCAGTTTGATTAAGTGCATGTATATCGTCAGTGTAAGAGAGGTGACTCATCAATCTTTTCTTTCCTTTCTCAACAGATTAATGATGATATGTTCACTGCGCATATAAGAAGAAACACGTGGAAATGAGTAAGTGAATATTTCTTCGTTAAAATCAAAGTAAGAGGATATTATGCTTTAATGATTATTTTAGTAAATGAGTAATATATATGTATATATAAATAAACGTACTCGCGTATTAAATTAATAGCGTTGCTTTTATTTAATGGTTTCTTTTGATTTCAAACGTCATTCGATATCGCTTTAAAGGTAAATATGACGATATTAAATAAATCAGTTGACTTGATTGACGTAAGTATAGGAGAAAAACAAAATTAGAACTGAAAATTTTTATATGATTTAGTAGCTACAGAAATTATTAATAGTTTATTATAAGTAGTCGTGAAGTTTCTATCATATTTTTATTTTTATTCATATATTAATTTATTTGCATTGATCATAACTGCAAGAGTGCAAAGAGTGCATGGTGAATCGTTTTTTTATATTTATAATTAGATAAAAAAATTAATTTTCACGAATAATAATTTAATAAGATGAGTACGGTCAAAGAATTTGTTCTTCTACGAATGAATCATCGTCTATTAAGCGAACACATCGAATACATCAATCAACCAAATGTTCATGCTCATATTATCGGTTATGCTCAAGAACCACTTCTTCCACTTGATGCTGCGTGCGCACCATTGGGCAATATTGTTGAAAATCTTTCAACATACGTTTTAGTTGCTTTGAAGGAAACTCCAATTATTCCGAATGATGGTTTAACTCGTGATGAATCAGCTTCAATTCGTCTTTACACGATGGAGTGGGGTGATGGACAGATTAGTCTCTATAAACTTCTTAATAGAGCTCTTAAATCAGCTGATCGCAATGACTTACAACCATGGTTTAAATATCTCAAACTTTTTCTTACTGCACTAGTTAAAATACCATGTTCACCTCCACAGACTATCTGGCGTGGAGTTCGACACATTGTTAGTAACGATTATCTACGTGGTACTCAGGTGACATGGTGGAACTTTTCATCATGTACAACAACACTTACTGTGCTAGAAAACGAACTATATTTGGGCGCTGTAGGAGAAAGAACTCTGTTCTCCATTGAAGTCTTCAATGGTAGAAATATTCGCTATCATTCACATTTTGGTGACGAGGATGAAATGCTCATGTTGCCAGGAACTCAAATGGAAGTACTCTCACAAATGAGATCGGCACCTGATCTTTATATTATTCATTTGAAACAGACAATGCCCAACGAAATGTTACTTGAACCTCCGTTCGAAGGTATATAAAAGATTTTTAATATTTCATTTAAATTGATCTTATTTTTTGTTCAGGTGCACTTCTTTATCCAGAGATTATGTGAGTCTTGTTTTTCTTCGCCTAATTGTCATTTTTTCATGAATTTTTCCAATAGCCTACCAAAACATTGGTATCAGAAGAAGAAATTCTACATTCCAATCAGTTTAATAACGGTATTATTAATCCTGGGAGTTGTTATTGGTACTGTTCTGGGAATAAAATTAAACGCACATAAAGGTACGAAACTATTTTATTCTCTTTTTCGTCCAAGTTGACTGATCGTATTAAATCTTGCGAGCAGATAGAGAAGATTTTGCTCTGTCATATATGAAAGTTCATCAGATTTATGAAACCTAATGCTTTTCGTTTTTAAATAGCTAAATGTAATTACACATTAACTAATCAAGTGACCTACACAACCGGAAGTCGTCCAATATTTGTACTAGCTGCTGATGTAAATGACGACGACAAACCTGACATTATTGCCGCAAACTTTGATGCAAATAATGTTGAAGTTCTACTTAATACAGGTGATGGTAGATTTAGTGCTCAGAAGACATATTCGACTGGTTTGAATCCAATTTCACTGGCAATAGCTGATGTCGACGGTGACACCAAACCGGACATTATTGTTGCAAACATGGGTGCAAATAGTATCGGTGTCCTCATTAATGTTGGTAATGGAACTTTTGCTACTCAAACAACATATGCAACAAGTGCTAAACCGCGATCTGTGACCGTAGTCGATGTGAATAATGATACTAAATTAGATATTATTGTTGCAAACTATGGTGCGAATAATATTGGTGTCTATCTTAATGTCGGTGATGGGAAGTTTACTATTCCAACGAATTATTCATCTAGTTCTGGTCCGATATGTGTGCAAGCAGCTGATGTTAATGGTGATAATAAACCAGACATTATTGTTGTAAACTATGATTCAAACCAACTCGGTGTTCTCATCAATGCTGGGGACGGTACGTTTCTTGCTTCTCAAACAAATATAACAAACGCTAATCCGATTTCAATGGCTGTAATCGATGTGAATGGTGACAACATGGCAGACATTATTGTCGCAAACTATGGTGCCAATAATGTTCAAATTTTCTTAAACAATGGTAACGGTACATTTACTACTAAATATTCCTATCTCACTGGCAGTTTTCCGTACTCAGTTGTAGCCGCTGATATCAATAATGATAAGAAAGTAGATATCATTATAATAAACTACGGTGCCGAGAACTTTCGTATTCTTTTAAACAATGGAAATGGTACGTTTGCTTCAAAAGATACGTATGAAACTGGCTCGGGCTCTGAACCTGTCTCTGGAGCAGCAATAGATGTAAATGGTGACAATCTAACAGATGTTATCGTCGCAAACTCGGCTGTAAGCAATATCGGTGTTTTTATTAATGCGGGCGACGAAACCTTTTCGGATGTAGCATCCTATACATCTGGTTCTAGTCCAAATTCAGTGGCTGGAGTTGATGTTAATAACGACGGCTATCCTGACATTATTGTCGCAAACTTAGATGCAAGTAATGTCGGTGTTCTTCTCAATGCTCGTAACGGCACATTTTATGCTCAAACGACCTATTCAACCAGTGGCAACCCCAATTTTGTGGTCGTAGTCGATGTCAATAATGATAACAAACCGGATATTATTGTTGCAAATGGAGATGCAGATAACATTGGTGTTCTGTTAAACAGAAACAATGGTACTTTTCCTAATGAAAATACCTATTCGTCATACTCTACTCCGGTGTATCTGACAGCAATCGATGTCAATAATGATAACAAATCAGATATTATTGTTGCAAATTACGGTTCAGATAATGTCGGTGTTTTTCTCAACAGAGGCAACGGTACATTTGCCGATCAAGTGAGTTATTCATCAGGTTCTCGTCCGATTTGTGTGACAGTAATCGATGTTAATGGTGATGGAATGCCTGATATTATTGTTGCTAACTACGGTGATGAAACGGTCGGCATTCTTCTGAATATTGACAACGGTACATTTACACGTCAAACGGTCTATGCAACTGGTCACAAGATGTATTCTCTAGCAGCAGGTGATATTAATAGAGACAGTAAACCTGATATCATTATAGCAAATTTCGATGTCAGCACTATAAGTATTCTTCTCAATACACACCAGGGCAAATTTATTTTACAGACCACTAATTATTCAACAAGTAGTTATCCGATCTCAGTCGCAGCTGTTGATTTCAATGCAGATTCTAAAATTGATATTATTGTAGCAAATTACGCTGCAGATAACGTAGATGTCTTTCTCAACAATGGTCAGGGTATATTTAACACTCGAACATCCTATCCAACTGGTCATTTGCCGAGATGTGTAGCAATATCCGATGTAAATAATGATAAAAAACCCGACATTATAGTTGCAAACTATGGTGGACAGAATGTTAGTGTTCTTTTAGGTATTTGTTAATGAACAAACTAAATGATGTAATTATGTATTAACCGTGCATGATCTGTATCTATACCATAACCATCCTATGTTTTTGTTTTCGTTTTTTCAATAATCAATAAATCTAGAAACATTTTTATATTCATAAAATTATATTAAATGAAATTAAAGAAAGTCTTATTTTGTCAAAGAATATAAATTGATTTTAGTATATTGTTACGGAATCAATAGAATGGAGTTTGTATACTAACAATTATTTAAGAAAACACCAACATTGTCTGCATGAGAGTTTGCAACAATAATATCAGGTTTATTATCCCCATTTAGATCAACGGCTGCCACTGAGAGTGGATTTGAACCTATACCAGTTGAATAAGTCGTTTGATTATTAAATGTGCCAGTACCAGTGTTGAGTAGAACACTGACATCACATGAAATGTAGTTTCCAACAATAATATCGAGAGTACTGTCTCCATCAATATCGGCTGTTGCTACTGACATCGCATAAGAGTCAGTTGAATAGGTCATTTGAGCGCCAAACGTGCCAGTACCATTGTTGATGAGAATACCGACGTTAGCTAAATAGTTTGTGACAATGATGTCGAGTTTACCGTTCCCATCAACATCACCAGTTGTCACTGCATACGGGTACGCATCAGTTGCATAGGTGACTTGAGCAGCAAACGTACCAGTGCCTGTATTAAGGAGAACACCAACATTATTTACATTGAAGTTTGTAACAATAATATCGTTTTTGCCATCTCCATTGACATCGGCTACTGTCAGAGTTTTTAAGAAAGTAAGCGTTGAATACACCACTTGAGCAGCAAATGTACCAGTACCGCTATTGAGAAACACGCCGATGTTGTTTGCAGTATAGTTTGGGACAATAATATCGAGTTTACCATCTCCATCGACATCTGCTAAGGCTACAGACCATAGTTGAGAGCCATTGCCGGCTGAATAGGTCACTTGAGGAGCAAAAGCACCATTGCCTATGTTAAGAAAAACACTGACGTTGCCTGAACCATAATTTGCGGCAACAATGTCGCGATCGCCATCACCATCAACATCTCCTACTGCTATATAATACGGTGTAGAGTTAGAACCAGTTGAATAAGTCGTTTCTGTCGAATATCTATCGCATGGAGCTATTGAAAGACAAAACATATTATAGGTGTCAATATAATCTTGACAAAGAATCGTTTACGTCAATCATTGATCTATCTTTTTTATGTGCCTAAGAGAATAAGAATGTGATTAGTATCTTACCTGTCGTGGTGGTCGTCGTTGTTGAGGTTGTTGTAGTTGTTTCAGTTGTTGAAGTTGCTGATGTAGTCGTAGTCGTCACTAATGTTGTAGTAGTTGTTGTCGTCGATTTAAACATTGTAATTAAGGCAACAAGCAATGCAGCAATGCCAATCGCAAGAAGAAGTAAACAAAATAACGAGAGACATAAACAAAGAGGTGAACATGAAAGACATATACTTTTAAAATAGCTAAATAGAAAAATTTTCCAAATATAAAAATAAGAAAAATCTATGAAAAAAATAATTTACCCTCTCTTTTTGTTTTTAATTTGCTTTTGTTCTTGAAAAATTTTGAAATTGGTTCCCTCGGTTTCATTTGTTTTTACCAATGAATAGTTGTTGACTGTCGATATTCTTTCTTTATCATATGTACTTGTTGGCAATATATTTTCTTGTGATAAGTTTTCCAACAAATTATAATTTGTTTCTTTATTAATGTGCGACTATTATAAGAATAAAGACGACTAAAATATCTTAAGGACTTCTACTACCTGTGGTGATGATTGATAATGTGGACTTATATTTGTTAATGATTTGATAGAATTTCTATTAATAATTGGTTTATCTTGTTGATAAAGAGATGGTAAATTCTTTGAATTCTATTTAAATCAATATAAAACATAATTAATTAAACTTTTTAACAATCTGACTGAGAATAAAGTTTCTTTAGTATTGAAAGATTTATTGTTTGTTGAATGAATAGTTGCATGAATAATATTAGAAGATCGTCTATCTTTTAATAATGAATGTGGATGCTAAAATTAAAATAATTTAGAAAAATAAATATAAAAGAAAGTCTTACTTGAATTTGAAATGATGATTTTTGAAGTTTGGGACGACCATTGTAGACAGATGATATAGGTAATGAATGATGATATGAAATATTATGTGTATTTCTAAGTGAAGCTAATATAATTCGAGGATGAGTATCTCGCGATTTATTGAAATCTGTTCGCTTGATCTTCATTATATTATTTCAATTGAAATTTCTGATTTTGTATTAAAATAGAAAATAGTATTTCGTTGATACATATATATTGTTACATTATTGATTACACAAACCACAAAAAAATCAGTAAATAATTATACAACTTCAAGATGTGTATGTGTGTAAAAAAATGTACTTTTACGAGAGCTTCTTGCCAACAAGTATGAACTATATAGGATTTCATTAACCGAATTATTTAATAAAAAAAATATTGAATAAGACAAATGTTTTTTTTTAAAATATATTCCACAATTATAAATAAAAGAAAATAAATAGGATACGTCATCGAAATTTAATTCAAACATTTCATTAATACCATGTTCTTCGAATTTCAATGATAAAAATCAATATTTTTATATCTCTTATTATCTAAAATAATTGTCTTTACAATTATGTATTGTTCGATATAGAAGACCAGCATATGACAACTGAATTCATAGAATAGAATATTTTAATAATAATCATAATTAAAATATAATGAATATATTATCTGGATGAATTGCCAGAACTCGTCAATAGAAATTTTGCACATATAGGTGAAAGTCCATTGAGCTTCTATCTATTTGTATATGTCTATGATATCGACTAAAGACATTGGTATCTATTAATACACTCTTTCTATTCGCTCGTTCTTGAGGGTGCGGGTAAAGGTATCCAATCATAGACACCCACACCCTCACCCACACTCTCACCTACGTAATTAAACTTTTTCAATAAATATGTATTGATGATTTATTTACTTTTTCGTTCCTTAAATATGTGTCATTTTTCAATGCGTTAATGGACTGTTACAATTATATTGAGACAAAGAGACTAATCAATATAGTTATTGGTTGAAAATATGAACTTTTCAGATATGAAATGATAGACTTTATATTTTATAAAGAAAATTTGCTAATTGGTGTAGTCATTTACAAGAATGAACTAACTCATTTCCCTATAGTTTGAAATGAAAGATATTAATGAAACATACAATCGTTATTTATCAGAATATCACAATAAAATCTGAAATACTTTTAGATACTGAATTATATATTATTTATGAATGCCAGATGTGAGTACCAACTGATAACCATATCTATTTACACCTACATCCTCTTCACATTGATCAATATTGTATTTGCATGAATTTTCTCGTCATCGTTATGCGCGATGGCATAAATTTCAGAAAAATCAAATATATTTTTCTGGTTTTTAAATAGATTTTCGAGTTTTAAATTATGCATTAACTTACCCGGATAAAGAAAATAATAGTATTAACTATTAATTCAATCTTTTTTGTTCTATGGTTATTCTATATAGTATAAATATTGTCTTATGCTTTATTAGATCTACAAAATAGTCTCTGTATACAGAAAAAAATCAAACAAAGGGATTTGAATTATTTCTCGGACTCTTGTATTATTCTGATGATATCGATCTTCTTCATGATTAAAGTCGAATTTATCATTTTTCTACCTATCGTTATTGAAAGAATTATTAGAATTAGTCTTTTCGACGATGGTAAAATATTGAAGCTTTACAAAATAAACATCTCTTGCAAATCTTTTTTTCTTAAACAACATACAAAAAAAACATCGAAGCCTTTGAAATTACATACTGAAGCAAATAATTTCATATGCTCAAAAACTGAAAAAATTTATTCATGTAAATTAGTTTATCACAACATTTACGCTATAATAGAGAATTGCTATTTCAACTAAATTCTAAACTGGCATGTGACATAAACAAGTCTTTTTTTAAATTTTTTTAACTACACTTGACAACCTTTTTAATCTACATCTTCATACTAGAGATAATCGTAGATATATTATTGACAGGTTCCAGAAATAATTCTGTTATATATATATTGTGCCATTATAGGATTAAATCGAGTTCAAAAAGAAGAAATTTTTTAAAATCTTAGTGAAATAGTTGTAAAAATCTTGACAGAATAGTGAATAATAGTGCTGGAGAAATTTTTATTTAATCTTCCTCCGATTGACACAAATCCAATAAATTTTCAACGTTATCCAGTTCAAAATCCGATAATATTTCATTTGGTACCGGCAGGTTTTTATTAAGAACCCGACGCGTTTCAGATAAATCAGCCATCGAATTCGATACTTTTTTGTAGGGTTTACAGGTGGGATTGAATGACTTGGGTAGATATTACAAAATTTCTATGAAAAAAAAAAACATTGTCATACTATTAATTAAAGACTTTTAATTATCAATCGTGACAATAATTTCTGCTAAGATGCTTCATAAAACATAAATGACAAGAAAAAGATTCCTAATTTTTTTATATTCAGTTTTAAATCGTCAAAGAAAGAAGAAAAACACAAATAATAAAGTATTATGTCATCTTCATCCGTATCTGATGGAATTCTGAAATTCGCTACACAATACTCGATTTATAGTGGTTGTATTATATTCAGTTTTGGAATTATTGGTAATGTATTGAATCTTCTTGTTTTTACTCAATTGAAACAATTTCGAACGAATCGATGTGCCTTCTATATAACCATTGAATCAATTTCCAACTTCATTTATCAGTTTTCATTACTTAGCACAAAAACCATGTTAACATCAATATATGGAGATGATGCTACAGGACGTTCTTTCATTTGGTGTAAATTAAGATATATATTGGGACAAATATGTACGCTCACTACAATTTATATGATATGCTTCACTGTTGTTGATCAATTCTTTTCGACCAATCATCGTTTTAATTTAAGACAAATGTGTACATTGAAACTAGGTCGATATGTTTCATCTATATTCATTTGTTTTGCGATCATTCATAGCATTCTACTTGGCTCTTCTTATGATATTCAATCAACACTGGGATGTGTCTTATCGAATTATGTCTGGATTCAGTATTCAACATATTTCTTTTATCCGATTTTAATTGGTTTCCTGCCTATTATAATTGCATCATCATTTAGTATCTTAGCTTATCATAATGTTCGCCATATAGTCCGACGACAATTACCAATTGTACGTCGTAAATTAGACAAACAAATAACAGCAATGGTTCTTACACGTGTAATAGCTTTTGTTTGTTTGACACTACCTTATAATGCTTATCGTATCTATGCTATTAATTTTCCTATATCACGAAGTATGCCTATGGCATATGCAATTGGTCGATTAGTTCAAACAATTTTTACTTCTATCAGCATTATAAATTATGTTGTAAGTAAATTTTCTTTGCTAATTCATACTTGTAAGATTTTGGTTTATTTTAGATCAACTTTTATATTTTTATAATATTCTCATCACGTTTTCGTCGTCAAGCGAGACTTGTGTTAGTAAAAAAATGTTGGCAACGATGGAAATATTGGTGTTGCTCCATAAATAATCGAATTGAACCTGACAACAATATTGAAGCACGTAACTCACAGATAGAATCGGAAGAAAATATCTAATTGTTCATTAAATAAATATTTTGATTGTCCTATGTCTATTTTTTCTTGAGAGTGGGTATGAATACTGTATTCATTTAACACCCTCACACTCAATTAAAATTTCTGATTTTGTATTAAAATAGAAAAAATATTATTTTCTTGATATATTGCTATATTATTGATTCTACAAAGAAGAAAAAAAACCAGTAAATAATTATACACCTTCAAGATGTATATGCGTGTAAAAAAATGTACTTTTATAAGGGCTTCTTGTCAACAAGTATGAACTATATAGGATTTCATTAACCGAATTATTTAATAAAAAAAATATTGAATAAGAGAAATATCTTGAGGGTGTGGGTGTAGATGGGTATGCGTAGTGTGTTGTGTTCACGCATCTACACTTCGTCATTTCAAGAATAGATGTAATAGTTTGTGTTACATTTCATTTTTTAGCACGAAGAAATCTATATATTTCAAATTACCATTCATTTTCTTCTTCTTCATCATTTAATGGATTCTTAAATTCTAATTTTGATTTATATTCTAAATAAGATTGATAACGAGATTTTAATTCATTGTAAACAAATTGACATTTTTTGTTGTTGTTGTTCACTATTTAATTCATTAATATCAAAGATGTAACTATGCATAGTCACTAATTATAACTTTTTCATATATTATCAGTATACGATTAGAAAAATGTAAAAATAACGATAAGTATAAATAGCAATCATTGACACATTCATTTGTATTAATGACTAATAAAAATAAATGAAACAAAGTAATTGCAACAAGAAATATTCTATAAATAAATCCTATTGCGTTGAATTTTTTTATTTTCTTTTACGAGTCTTTTTTCATAAAATCTTTAATAAGAATAATTAATAACCAACGGTTCTGAATAAAATAGTAAAATCAAATTTCACTGCATAAAGTATTGATATAATTGAAAGACAAAGAGCTAGATGGTAAGAGAATTTGTGAAATATTTCAATTGTTTTCTTTGCTTTAGTTTGATCCACTATTCCGAAGAATGTTAATTATTCATAATTTATTGATCTCTTCATTCTCCGATTCTATTTATCTTTATCGAGTATTTGTGAACAAAAAAGTGTTAATATATGCCAAATTATAAAATAACAAATTTTTTTCTTCTTATTTTGTATTGATTTTTACGGATAGTTTTTTAAGTTTGCTTAAGTTCCGATCATTTTTATAAGTAAACGCAATAATAAAACTAATATTGTCCCTGGTTATCTAGTAAAAAGAACGCCTCCACATTGAAAAAATACTCTATGATCAATTCTATATTCATTAAATCATAATCAAAAAAGAAAAATGAACGCATTATATAACGTAATTTTCTGTTTGACTGTTCTACTGATGAATGTTGAAGGATTAGGTAAATAATTATTTTTGCTGATATAAAATTATCTGAAAAGAGAAGATCCTCACAGATGTTCAAGTTGTTTAGACTCCCTCTTTTTGCTACTAGTAAACCTTAAAAGGATTTATTATTTGGGTTTTATTTTATATAGGTCTTTCCATTAATCAACCAAAATTATGTCCATCGGCAACATGGAACTCTAATGCTGTGACATTTACTGATCAGAATACAATTGGTACACAGCCGTATAGCATTTCAATTGACATCAATAATACTATTTATATATCAGAAGGAAATCTTAATCGTGTTCAAGTCTGGTTAAATGGAAATGGAACTCCAATAAGAAATATTTCTAATGGTTTGAATACACCACAAGCTGTTTTTCCTTCGATAAATGGTGATATTTATGTTGATAATGGTAATTATAATGGTCAGGTAGATAGATGGGCATTAAATGCAATAATTGGCACTACAGTCATAAATACCGGTGGTACGTGTTATGGTCTCTTTATCGATATCAACAATTATCTTTATTGTTCCATCCTTGCAACTAATAAAGTGATTAAACAATCACTTGACAATGGTACGTTAACTATTGCTGCTGGTAATGGTACTGCCGGAAATAATACAAATCAGCTTCGTCATCCTCGAGGAATTTTTATTGACACTAATTTGAATATGTATGTAGCAGATTCTGGAAATGCAAGAATTCAATTATTTAAACCAGGACAATCAAACGCAACAACCGTAGCAGGAACTGGAGCACCGGGAACATTCACATTCATCAAACCGATAGCAGTTATACTTGACTCTGATGGGTATTTATTCATTGCAGATTTTGATGGTCATTGTATTATAAGATCGGGAAGGTCAGGATTTTATTGTTTATTTGGATGTACATATCAGCCAGGTGCAGCGTCGAATCAATTACATAGTCCCCAGAGTCTCAGTTTTGATAGCTATGGAAATCTTTATGTCGCCGATTCTGAAAATCATCGAATTCAAAAATTTATTCCGCGAACAAATTCATGCGGTAAATAGATTTTACATTATATTCGCAGATTCTTTTTCCTTTAAAAAGATTCATATAACAAAAGTTTCAATAGAATTTGTTCAGTAAATATAAAACTCGAAATGTCATTCTGTTCTTGAATATTTCATAATCGAATTGTATAATAAGAAATTGAGGATATCTATTTATTTTTGTTTTTTGGTTATAGATATTTCTTACAATCTACCGAAATTTTGTTCAAATGCAACATGGAATCCTAACGCTATAAATTTGACGTATTTTATCAACAATGGCGTATTTTCCCAACGTCTCTTTATCAATAATAACAACACTGTTTATATGTCTGCAACAAGCTCTAATAATATTTTAGTATGGTTAGAAGGAAATGCGAGTCCACAAACATATAATTCTCCTGATATAAGTGATCCAGGTGCTATATTTGTCACTGTTAACGGTGCTGTTTATGTTTATAACAATGGGATTAATGGTAGCATAAACAAATGGGCACATAATGGACCGGGTGGTAGTGATCTCCTTACGCGTGTTAATGGTATTTGTAACGGTATCTTTGTCGACATCGAAGACAATATTTATTGTTCTATGAGTGATTTTCATACAGTACTATTATTCAATAATGGTACATATACATCACTTATTATCGCAGGTAACGGTTCTGCTGGATCCGGACCATATATGCTGAATACTCCTCGAGGAATCTTTGTTGATATTAATCTCAATTTGTACATAGCAGATTGTCGAAACAATAGAGTACAATTACTACAAGGGGAATATCCAAACATGACAACTGTAGTAGGAAATGGATCGAATGAAATAATTACATTCGATTGTCCAACTAGTGTTATACTTGATGCTGATGGATATTTATTTATTTTGGATTCTAATAATCAACGTATAGTTGGATCAAATGCTGATGGTTATCGATGTATAGTAGGATGTATAAATGGACTTATACCAATATTAGATGAATTATATCAACCTTGGAGTCTTAGTTTTGATAGTTATGGAAATATTTACGTTGATGATGCAGGACAGTTACGATTGCAAAAATTTCTTTTTATAAGTAGTTCTTGTGGTAAATTTTAAAATTATATTTATTTATTCTATAAAATTATCAAATATAATTATTTAGATGAAGTTATAGTCTATAATGACACACTAACATCAACTACAAATCTAAACATAAGTACTATTCAATATTTTATTCTTTCTTATTAATTGTACTAAATCTAATTTTGTATTTGTAGCAACAACTATTTCCTATCAAAATGGTATGTAATAGTCAATAAGTCTACTTATTAACAATACAAATAGGAGAGTGGTATTTTCGATTAGAAAATGTCGTTTTTTCTGTGTCGCAATCAATGCTAGCGATATCATTTATTTTTGCTTAGATTTTGAATCTTTATTACAGTTGGTTCTATAAAAGTTTGCATTTCTTTAAACCCTTTAATTACTAAGAAAATTTTGTAGCGTCATCCGTCATGATTTCACAGGTTTACTTTACCGCTTAATCGTCAAAACTACAGCGATTTTGATGACATAGAATATTTAAATACAAAAATGAATAATAATATTACTAAAGATGTCTCGATATTTTATAGGTGGACAATCCACATCTTCAATTTTTTTACCCACTTGTTCAACACCTTTATATATCGGCTCTAATTGTAATACATCCGCGTCAATATGTGATATACGTCAACCTTGTCAAAATAATAGTACTTGTATTAATGATAATACGATCATTCGGGGATATAATTGCTATTGTCTACCTGATTTTAACGGTACAGAATGTCAATATGATTATCGAATTTGTCAATTACGTACTTGTTCATATAATGGTATATTCCCACTATATAAAGAAGATAAAAAAGAATTTCTTGTTTATCATTTTAGGTATATGTTATCAATCATCAAATACAACATTTACTTGTAGTTGTAATGAAGGATGGCAAGGTGTACATTGTGAAATAAAAATCAATTATTGTAAAAATATAACATGTT